GCAAGGGAGCTAACGACATGCGTCCTTTGTGCATGTAGTTTGCCTCCCCCGCACATGCGCAAATAGATGGAAGCTGATTAAAATTGGATCTTCTATGATCTGCTTATTCAGCATTCTGCCTCATGTCCAGCAAGACTTGCTGAAAAGCCCCAAAATCTGCCATGCTGTGCCAAGTCGAGAACTCCGAATTGGGCTCTCCCTCCTACAGTAGCCCGCAGCGGATGCCCCTTCAAATCAGCGGGAACATGGTGCTGCTGAGCCAGTTTTGGCAGTGATCGCTACGCTTACACTGCTGCAGGCGTCCCTCCCTGCATGTGGTCGACTGGTGCCGACTCGCCAGAGCTCTTCTCCTCATCCTCCTGAATCTCAGCCAGTCTTGCTTGGCGCTGCTCTTTACTGACCACCTGCCACAGGGAATAAAAAACACACACTGCCCTGAACCCTACATGGGGCAGTGTCTGGAGCAGCGCGCCGAGTAGTAGCTTCAAGAGCCTTTGCATGCGTGTTTTGCGCGGGCAAGGCGTTGCAAGGGGCCAAGCACAGCTGGAGACACACCCACACCTAGAAGCTACAAGCTGCTTGAGCTGCAATCTCCTTACGCTGCCTAGAACCTACTTCAGCATGGCGAAAACGCCAGCGCGCCAGATACAGGGTGTCCAGAAGCATGCAGGCCTTAAGGCTTGCAAGTTGTTGTGATTTGTTGAGCTAAGCATTTAAGAAAAGTGCAGGTACATCGGGACTGAAGCAGAGCTTCGTAGGCTGTTTCCAGGGTGCCTCTGCCCACGAAAACAGATCCCTTACAAGGTGTTACACAGACATANNGAGAGAGACTTTTTCGACTTTCGGATCGCAAAACGCTCTCGCGTCCCTCGCGCGGCCTTGCTAGAGTAGTCTACCGACTAGTTAGCAAACAGGACTATTGCCTGTGGGTTCCCCTGCCTCGCCCCTATGAGGCCTGCAGGCTTCAGCCTACGAACTAAGAAACTGAGAAACTAGAAACCTCATGGCTCCCCGGGTGGGGCCGTCATGGAGGCAAGGCTGTCGCCCGTGAGGGACCGAAAGCGCGCACCCGGTGCGTGCACCCATGCAGTGCGCTCACGAGTTACCAAAAGCGGTTTGGAAGCACAAAATGTACGCATTGTGTTGGATGCTCTCTAGGATATCTGGTTTGCAAGGCACTGCACTCACCCAGTCATCGAAGCACCAAGTGACTATGTCGGACATCCCAGAGGGGGCCGCCTGTGAAGTCTGGTGCGGATGTACCTGAGGGAGTCCAGCAGATTGCGAGTGTGGCGACGCCGCATGCATTGCAAACGCATGGTAATGACCGCTTTGAGGCGACTGCCCAACATGAAAGACTCCTGCTGTCAGCCTGTATCGTCGCCACTCCACCTGGAGGCCAGAGGTGAAATAAGGCACAGATATCGTGGTGGTAGGATGGCATGCAATACATTGCGAGTTTTTGCCTAACTCGAGCTGGGAGTATCTAGCCAAGACAAGCATAAGACATGAGGAGTCACCCGTCGAAGCATGCACAGACGGTTGATGATGCCACGAGTCTATGCAGTCCTGTACCGTGTGATGCTCCGGCGCGATGGGCAGCATGATTACATTTGGGCCACTATCATCTACTAAAGTGAGGGGGCCCCCCTGACGCTCCGAAAGTGTGCGAGCCTCCCATGTACACTGAAGGGCCGGAAAGCGGCACCTATCCAGGAGGTATCGAAGAAGCTCAGAGCAATCGTTTTGGCGGGTGAGATGCGGCCAGGCCTGGAGCAGCACCCTCCA